ACTTTCCCTGCCCGGGAGCGCCGCGCATGCGTGGTTCCGCCCCCTGCGCCGGCCGAGGCGTAGCTGGCAAGCGGCAGAGACGGAGCAGGCCGACCACCAGCTGGCCCAGCTCAAGGGAGGTAAGGCACCCGCCGGAAAAGGGGAAAAAAATGGCGGACAAAAAAAATGGCGGACAGCCTTGCTTGGCGACCCCCGTGAACTGGTCGATCGACCCCAAATGGGGTCGCGACCCATAGGTTGAGAACCGCTGCTGTAGGGCCACAAGAGGACTCTTACCGTTCCACATCTTTGGAGGTTCGAAAAATGAACATTTGGGATGAATAAGACTGGCTGGGTTTCCAAGTCAGTTTGAGGCTTGAGGTAAGTGATTTCATTGCTGCGAAAGCTTGAAACTAAACAGCTTTTTAAACCTGAAAGATAGAAGAGAAAATGATGGGTTTTTGTTTTTTTTTAATCACGCTCCTTATTCTAAATTAACAGAAACCTCATATTTGAAGGGAAATTTTCTGGGATCTAGTTATACAAACCCAAACAAGCACACTTAAGAGGGAAATTTTATAAAGAAAAATATTTTAATGTATAAATTAAGCCAGCACACTCATAGGGTTAATAAATAAACATTAAAAATATTATTTATGTCATATAGTTATATTAGCTGATTAAATCACAGCATTGAATGATTAATTGACACCATTTTAAAATATCCCTATAACTGAAATAGAAATTTGATATTAGTAAGGTGGCTCTGTTATTTTTGACATCCCTTCTGTTATTCTTTTACTTTGATTTTTATACCTCTTAATGTATTTATTCATTCACTGTTTTTAGCTTCGTTGAACATTGTCCAGAATCATTTATTTGTGAATTAGGTGGCTATATAAATTGGTTTAATAAACAATAGGTATTGGTATGTTTCTCTTTTCTCTATTATTATGTTGTTATCCCTATTATTTTTGGTTGAGGTTACCTTTTTAAAAAATGTCTTTATTACACAATCACAGGCTGACTGAATGCAGAATGCTACTTGAGAAAAGTTCATAAAAATGGATGCCTTGACATTACGAATTCACCTGTTGTCTCTGTTCCTCCATGAAAAGCTGGAGAACAGTTTCAGAGTTTGTTAAATACTAATTGCTCCTTTGCTTTTCAGCAGGGTTAAACAGTCCCACGAGGCATCTTACAAAATCATAGAAATGTATGATTCCGCTTGTAACTTGATTTTCTTCCTCCCCACATGAAACAAGAACCAAACACATTAAGCAGGAAGAGGTAGAAGACCTGCAAATATTGCCTTGGGGCTGGTAGCATAGGAGTTACTTCTAAATGGAAAAAAATCTTTGGGTGCCAAGATAAAGAGGAGGTGGAGTTGCTCTCTATATATAAGAAATAACTACATCTCTACAGAAATAGAGCACAACAATGATGAAAACTGTCTTGAATGCATTTGGGTCAATATAAAAGGGGAAAAATGACATTGCCATAGGTGTATACTATAGGCCACCCAACCAAACAGAGGAAATACATGAACTTTTTGCTAGTCAGCTAACTAAGGTATGTAGGAAGCACATCACAATAGTAATGGGGGACTTTAATTGCCCTGACATCAACTGAGAAACAAACTCTGCACCAAGTGGAAGATCAAACAGATTCCTGACAAACCTAGAAGACAACTTTGTCTCCCAAAAAGTAGAGAAGGGAACTAGGGGATTAGCCATATTGGATCTAATCCTCACTAACAGAGATGAAAAGATAGAAGGTGTTGAAGCCACAGGGACCTTGGGGGGAAATGATCATGCAATATTGGAATTCAACATTATGGAAGCACAAGCAATAGAACACAGTCAAACTAGAGTCTTGGACTTCAAGAGAGCTAATTTCAATAAACTTAGCGAGGGCTTGAGAAGGATTCCATGGATAAGAATCCTCAAGGGGAAAACAACTCAAGAAGCTGGGGAAATTTTGAAAAGTGAGATAATAAAAGCCCAGTCTAGCACAATACCAACAAAGAAGAAAAATAACAGCTTTCAAAAGAAAGCAGCATGGCTGTATAAAGATAAAGATAAATTGAAAGATAAAAAGGACAAGTATAAAAAGTGGAAAGAGGGGCACATAACTAAGGCAGAATATCAGCAAATAGTCCGTGCCTGCAAAGATGAAGTGAGGAAACCTAAGGTCCAAAATGAACTATGGCTTGTGACCAAAGTCAAAAGTAACAAAAAAAGCTTCTTTCAACATGTAAAAAACAAGAAAAAAAGTTAAGGAAATGATTGGTCCATTAGTGGGGGAAAGTGGCAAGAAGGTGACAAGCAAGAGGGAGAAAGCAGAACTATTTAATTCATTTATTTTGCATCTGTCTTTACACAAAGAGAAAAAAACAATCCAACTTATAAAAAATAGATTAGAAACACAAGTTAAGACAGGCAAGAAAATGGTAAGTGAGCACCTGTCCAGCCTAGACGAGTTCAAATCACCAGGACCAGATGGATTACACCCCAAGGTTCTCAAGGAACTGGCAGATGTGATCTCAGAACCATTGAACTATATTTTTCAAAGATCCTGGAGCACTGGGGAACTACCAGAGGACTGGAAAAGAGCTGATGTAGTTTCCATCTTCAAAAAAGGGGAAAAAATAGATCCAGGAAACTACAGAAGACTGGACAGCCATTTGTCTGAAATGGTATAGGGTTTCCTGCCTGAGCAGGGTGTAGATGACCTGAGCAGGGACTAGATGACCTCCAAGGTCCCTTCCAACTTTATTGTTGTTGTTGTTGTTGTTGTTGTTATTATTATTATTATCATCATCATCATCATCATCATCATCATCATCATCATCATCATCATCATCATCATTATTATTATTATTATTATTATTATTATTATTATTATTATTATTATTAATATTACTGCTAACCTTTTGGCCTTTAGGAAGGAACTTAAGTGTTTTATATCTCAGGGACTATCAGCACTAATGGTGATGGGCTTTCCTTAGAGACAGGCTTGTATTTCTGGTTATAGTTATCCTCTGTCATTATTTATATATTGGCATTTTCCTTTGTGGTAGTGTAAAACATCTTGAGTCCTGCAAAATATGTGGTGTATAGATTTTGGTGTGAAGATAAATAAATTCACCCAAAAAGCAGATATAACTGAAAAGCTATTTTAAAAAGTCAGTAAACAAATAATCTTGAATCTAATAAAGTAATGTCTTAACACAAACTCATCCATTTAAAAGCCTTCTGAGACTATTCTAAGAGCTGTGGTGGTGCAGTGGTTAGAATGCAGTATTTCTGGCTAACTCTGCCTACTGCCAGGAGTTCAGTCCTGACCGGCTCAAGGTTTATTCAGTCTTCCAACCCTCTGAGGTCAATAAAATGAGGATCCAGATTGTTGCGGGCAATACGCTGACATTGTAAACCGCTTAGAGATGGCTGTAAAGCATTATAAAGTGGTACATAAGCCTAAGTGCTATTGCTATTTCATAGATGGCATCCTAGAGAAACCAAAGTTTGTTTGTAATATGCTAAACCCCATTCAATATTGGTAAGATGTGCCTGCAGATTGTCCCATGAAATGCAAGAAAACTTGTGAGTCATTTTTTTTGGCAACACTCATTTAAGAGGTCCTTCAAGAATGCATTATTAAACTGAGATCAAAACCAAGAAGATGCCATTGGCAACCAAACCCTAGAAAGGTGAACAAAGAAAAGAAGGCAGAGAAGTGAGCAGAAGGTGGAAATGATGTTGATGGCCCCAAAATAGATCCCTAAGGATCACATAAATTAGCAGAAGGTGGAGGTCATATTGATGTCCCAAAAGAAATCTCTAAGGACCACAGAAACGAGCAGAAGATGGAGGTCATGTTGATATCCCAAAAGAAATCTCTAAGGATCACCTTTTCCTATATGACCCTCATGGTCAACTCAGTTAATCTTACAGGTTCTTTATAGTCTCTCCGTTTTTGGAAACCTGACTGGTGGTTACTGGAATGACAAGTCTTCAGGCTGTGGTGCCCATACAACGAAGCCCTTACTCCAGGGACTTTCCCCTGGCCCTTTCTTTGCTATCTTGAAGGCCCTAGGCAGAGTTTGCCAAGGCTTCCTTGAGGGCTTGGAGCAATCGCGAGGCCCTTGAAACTAGTTCTAGCTGCTATTTTTATCTCGGTGACCCGCTCTTTTGCTTTTCTCTCTTTTGTAGTTTTTTATGGCTGTTTTTATTTGACATCTTACTTATTATGTTTTGAATATGGATTTGTTTTGTAAGCTTCCCGGAGGGCATGTGTCAACTTATGGGGTCTAAATCTCATAAGTAAATAAATAAAATAGAATAAGCAAAGAGAAGGATTTTCAAAGTGGGACTTTAGATCCAGCTGGGGCTGGGCTAACATGGCTGGCCTGGATTCTAGGTGGAAGGTGCAAACTTGGATCCTATAGTATAGCCAGTCTCTTGGGCAGCTTGGAGTTTCCAGAATTGCACTGATTTATCTAGAGGGCACCAGATCAGTCAAGCTGGACTAAGAGTAGACGCAACTGTCAGGTCCCCAAATCCTTATTGTTTCCCCTGTATATGTGCTCTTGTTTTAGGGCCTGCCATTCTGCTGGGAGGAGGGGGGAATTTGCTTTCCTTTGGGATAACTTTCACCTTCTACCTTTTCTCTCCTGCCTATATCCACTTGAGGAAGGAATGTGTCTCTCTTATCAGGGAGACAGTTACAGAGAAACGAAACTGGAGAAGACCTTGAGATGCTCACCAACTGTGCCAGTTACCCATACACCGTGCCATTTGTGGATTGGCTGGATTTCTTTTTTTAAAAAAAATAAATTTTATTCAGTTTTATAAGGTTAGGGAAGGGATGGGATCAGTATGGGAGGTGGGATTCAGAATGGGGGTCAGGGTTGGGAACAACAATGGGGTTACCCCCCATTGACATAAACATTCTCAAGCTTTAGCAAGCAGGCTATTGTCCGGGTACATATGTTCAATAGCACTAATTAATGTAATAGTAAATAGCTATAGTAAATATGAGAAACAATAATCATAAACAATGTCAGTGAGTCAGTACATGTCCTTCATCTTACTAATATATATTCACAATAAGGTATCACTTTCATTTCTCACTATCTTTTTGCTAGCCATTGATAAAAATTGTCCCATGTTTTAAAGTAAACTGAATCTTCCTTCTCTTTAATCTCTAAAGTTAATCTGTCCATTTCTGCACATTCTAAAATTTTCTTAATTATGACCTCTTCAGACGATAAATTTTCATTTTCCCAGTATTGGGCAAATGCTATTCTCGCTGCTGTCAATATATGCAATATTAAATACTCACTCTCCTTCTCATACTTGGCTTCTAGTATTCCTAACAAAAACAATTCTGGTTTAAATTGTATCTGTATTTTAGTCATCTTTTTCAACCATATATGAATCGTAAGCCAGATTTTTTTCACTCTAGGGCCGTGGTGGCGAACCTATGGCATGTGTGCCACAGGTGGCACGCAGAGCCCTCTCTGTGGGGACGCGTGCCATTGCCCCAGTCCTAGGCCTTCAGTTGGGTTTTATAAAACCTTTTTGCTTTAGGCCTCCGCCACCGTGTGCAAAAAAAAAAAAAAAAAGGTTCAATCAATTTCAACTTCTTGCGGGGGAAAAAAAGATCTTGCAAAGTTGGAATTGATTGATTGATTGAACTTTTTAGTCCCACCCAGTCTGCGGTTATCACCGCAGCCATGCCCACCCAATTGGTCATGCCCACCCGGCACCCAGTGATACATAAGTGCGTTTTGGGTTGCAGTTTGGGCATTCGGACTCTAAAAGGTTCGCCATCACTGCTCTAGGGCAGTGCTCTAGGGCAGATATGGTAATAGGTACCTGGCTTTTGTTGAATTGGCTGGATTTCAAATGGACAGTATGACTTTGGTGGGAGAAGGAATATTGTTAGTTTAACTACTATACCTTTTAAGCAGGATTTCCCCCAGATCCCGCCTTGACTTCCCTGCTGTCACTAACCCTTTGTAAAAGTATCCTTTTGAGACAATGCCTGTTTCAAGAGTTTTACTTTCTGGGGTGGTTAACTGAGGTGGGTCCTTACAGCAACTCTAAAGCAACTGACTGCTGGAGCAGAGTCTTTTTAGACTGCAAATGCTGACACTGTTTCTAAATCCTTAAAAGCAGTTGGAAGCCAATCCCTGGTCATCTTCACGGCCACTAATCTCAAAGGCTGAGAATATTGTGAACCTATCCAAACCTCCACCAGGTGAGCAACAGAAAAATACAAAATACAGGTAACCCTCAACTTACAACCTTTTGCTCAGTGAGCCATATGAAGTTACAACAGCCCTGAATGAAGAGACCTACAAGCAGACCTTGCCCTTTGGACCATTGCAGCGTCCCCAAAGTCACGGGGTCAAAATTCAGACGCTTGGCAACCAACATGGATTTAAAAGGGTTGCAGCATCCTGGAGTCACGTGATCACCGTCTGCAACCTTCCCAACTGGCTTCCCACAAGCAAAGTCAACGGGGGAAGCCGGATTTGCTTAACAACCGCGTGATCCGCTTAACAGCTGCAGTGACTTGTTTAACATCTGCCTTGCTTACCAACAGAAATTCTGGTCCCAGTTGTTGTAGGTCAAGGACCACCTTGTACGGAACTCAATCAAAGCCCCAGTCTGAGCAGTTGCTACAGTGGGGGAGCTGTAAAGCCACCCAGGAGCCCCCCTCATTTGTCTTTAAAAGACCCCTGAAATAAGAGCATCTCAGTCTTGACTATCGTATCTGAGCCTCAACAGGGAGGGAAGAAAAAGGGTGGGTTGCCAGACCGTGGGAACTGTGAGGCAGGGCGAGGCAGACGTTCCCACCAACGGAGAACTGCTGCAGAGCCTCCGTATTTCAAAGTAGGAAATTTGCCTTTCATGCGGTCCCAGGTACACCGTAGCTGAACTGTCTCAGATGCTGAAAAAGATGGCAGGGTGAGACCGCAAAGGTCCATATCTGATTCTGGAGTTGTGCAAAGCAGGAAAGCAGCTCAAAACCATGAAGCGGCAGGATCTTCCTTTCCCAGACACTAAGTTGTCTGCAGCGTGTGGTTAAAAACATCAAGACGATGGTCACGATGGAACAACTGAAGCTCTTTATTATATGGAACACACAAATCATGAACTATGGTGCTGGACTGCAAGACGATCAAACCGGTCAGTCCTAGAGGAGATCAACCCTGACTGCTCTTTAGAAGGCCAGATCCTGAAGCTGAAACTCAAGTACTTTGGCCACCTAATGAGAAGGAAGGACTCCCTGGAGAAGAGCCTGATGCTGGGAAAGATGGAGGGCAAGAGAAGAAGGGGACGACCGAGAAGGAGGTGGCTGGATGGAGTCACTGAAGCAGTAGGCGTGAGCTTAAATGGACTCCAGAAGATGGTAGAGGACAGGAAGGCCTGGAGGAATGTTGTCCATGGGGTCATGATGAGTCGGACACGACTTTACAACTAACAACAACACACAAATGAATGAGCAGAGATCTACTGACTGCTGTGGCTGCCATATTGACTTTTTTTTTTTTTTTACCATACCTTGCAGGCATCTCTGTTAGTCACCATCCCTTCAGTTTCCTTTGCATGGACTGGTATCCAGCCACGAAGGCCCCTTTCCAAACAGTTTAAAGGAGCGGTTAGTCCGCTTCTACTCACCGTTATTATTGGCATCCAAGCATTTCCCTTTCCTCCTGAACTGTTTGCGTTCATCATCCCGCATTTTCCTCTCTGCTCCCTAGAAGAGAAGGAGAGAAGCCACAACCTCACTCTCACATTCATGGCTGCTAAAAGTAAACCTACGAACATTTTATGTTTTAACGTAATGGTGTGTGGGAATGACCTCGGGAGACTGTGTGCAGAGATGCTGCCAAAAGATACTGCCGAAGGAGCGACCAGATAAGAGGGAGCGTGGCCCACAACTGCACAATGGGTGGAACAAGAGAGACAGGAGGGACCCTCCTTAAGTTCTCAGGCTCTAAAAGTGACAGCAGGAGGCTTGTACTTTCAGGCTGCAAAGTTCTGTTAATGTAGCTTAACAATAAATTAGATTTAGCTTATCTGGCTGTGATTACCTGTGGTCTGCCTAGTTAGTAAGACTGACAAGGCTGTGGCAATGTGACATGACATTCCTCTACCTTGACTTGCAAACATCTGAATCTAATAGGTCATGAATAATAATAATAATAATAATAATAATAATAATAATAATAATAATAATAATAATAATAATAAAGTTGGAAGGGACCTTGGAGGTCATCTAGTCCAACACCCTGCTCAGGCAGGAAACCCTATACCATTTCAGACAAATGGCTGTCCAGTCTCTTCTTAAAAACTTCCAGTGTTGGAGCATTCACCACTTCTGGAGGCCGGTTGTTCCACTGGTTAATTGTTCTAACTGTCAGGAAGTTTCTCCTTAGTTCTAAGTTGCTTCTCTCCTTGATTAGTTTCCACCCGTTGCTTCTTGTCCTGCCTTCAGGCGCCTTGGAGAATAGCTTGACTCCCTCTTCTTTGTGGCAGCCCCTGAGATATTGGAACACTGCTATCATGCATAATCATTGACTGAATGTATGCCCTGCCTCTCTCAATTTTCAGGTGCCCCACTCCACCAGTAGACCCATTCCAAGCCATGGGTACCAGCCCTGGACCCATCCATTCATGCATCTTGATCTCTCCACATTCTTCCCTCTTTCCATTGCTCTTGCTGATTCATCTCTCTCTTCTTTCTTCTTCCCTTCCCTGCCTCCAGCTGCCTACCAATTAGATTTGAGAACAAGGACAGGGTTTTTCTCCCCCATCATTGCTGCATGGAGTAGGGGGTGATCTGGGTTGTGATGGTGGCGAAAGGTAGAGAGGGGTGGGAAATTCCATTCAGAATCCTTGCTCTCTAGGCTTAATTGGGGGGGGGGCCTGGGGAGAGGCTGTGGGACATATTCAAAACCGCAAGCCTGAAAGTCCTCTTGTTCAGCTCTAAACTTTCCTTGGAGCCCAAAGGTGGCACTTTAGCTCTTGCTTGCAAAATTTCTCTCCAAAAGATTTTGTGTTCAAGAAATAACAAACGACGGGACAAATCAATTGAAAAATAATTTGGGCTGCCATTCCTTCACACGGCAACGGCTGCGAGGATTATATTGGCCAAACCATGGAAAGAAAAAGAGATGCCGACTGTTGAAGAATGGATTTTGAAATGGACTGAATTAGCAGAGATGACAAAACTAACCGTTTTGATTAGAGACAACGGACTAGACAGCTATATAAGAGACTGGAAACCGTTTGTGGACTTCCTATGTGCTCAATATAATAAGAGATGGTGAACAGAGGGATCTGAAGATGAGTGTAACGTTTAGCTCAGCCCGTTGACTGCTTTTTCTTTTTCTTCTTCTTCTTTTTTCTTTTATATACATTTGTAAAAAGGGAGGGGAATTTATTCCTTTCTTCTTTCATCACTCAGCCAGGGTGGATCCTACCGTACATGTTATATATGTTAAATTTAATTGACCACTTTTTTTCTCCTTTTTTGTACACTATTTTCTTTTTTTTCTTTTTGGTGTGGTTAGGGTTGAATGCACGCTTTTGTTTTATTACATTTTGTTTGTTAGTTTTACTGTTCAGTATTTTATTCTCTATGATAAAATAATAAACTTATATATAAAAAAAGAAACAACGAGGGTGACCCCTGGCCATCCCGAGGCTTTCTACACACACACACACACACACACACACACACACACACAGAGCCCATGCACAAAATTGCCAAAGGCTCCCTTTACTCTACCTTATCACAAAATATTTTGATCTGGCAGATGGCTCGGTGGACCAGCCGGTTTGTCCCGGTGCTGTAGTCGTAAGTGTCAATCTGGAGATTCAGAGGGACACCCTTCACACCCTTTTGAGAGGAGAAGTCCGTGCTCAGGCAGTTCACACCAATGAACACCTGCAAAAACGAATGGAAAGCACTATGGAGCTAGGTCTATTGTAGCCTTGAAAGAGGGGGTTCACCTGAAGCTCTAGAGGTGTCCAATGGGTGGGTTGGTGTTATTGCAATGGGACCGACTAATTCAGGGGTAGGCAACCTTGGCTCTTTTATGACTCGTGGACTTCAACTCCCAGAATTCCTGAGCCAGCCATGCTGAGGGGAAAGGGAGAGGTTTCCATGCTGAGCCATGCTGGCTCAGGAATTCTGGGAGTTGAAGTCCACAAGTCATAAAGCAGCCTAGGCCTAGGCCAGAGGTAGGCAACCTTGGCTCTTTTATGACTCGTGGACTTCAACTCCCAGAATTCCTGAGCCAGCCCTGCTGAGGGGAAAGAGAGAGGTTTCCAAGCTAAGCCAGGCTGGCTCAGGAATTCTGGGAGTTGAAGTCCACGAGTCATAAAAGAGCCAAGGTTGCCTACCCCTGGACTAATTGCTCAGAGAAGCCATTCCTAACCGAGATGAAAGTCAAAAGATCAGTGTAACCACCAAAGGGAAGAGATTATTGGAAACAGATTGGTTCAAAGTTCCAAAATCTCTGCCAAATTTGTGGATATATAAATTGGGTGGGCCATTTTTCTAAATCTCTTCAGGAGAGGGAGAAATTCTCCAACCATTTCTCAAGGGTGTCAACGCTGCTAATATTGAATATTCTGACTGACAAAGATGACAAAGGGCTTCCTTGAGACAGGACTTCCTCTTCAGGGTGACAATAACACACTGACTTAAAAATGATGAGAGGAGAGTTGGCTTCTCTTGCAAATATTTAATGGAATTCAATGTGGGAAGCCAGGGAGACAGCAGAGTGCCGGAGAGATGATGGGCCAGGGAAAGTCAGAGCATTGACACACAACTCTTGGCCCCACCACTTCACACCCTACCACTCCATCGATGTGAATTTCTCCTAAATCCTTTTCTACTTTAAAATAATGTTCTAAACCAAATTCTTCTTTATTAGATTAATTAAGAGTTAGTTTTCAAAAATGCAGGGCAATTTTTCTGCCTGATTCTAGCAGGTAGTTCTGTTGGTATCTCAAGCCTACCTTTGCTTCTTCAGCGATATTCCAGACAAAGGATAAGGCATTGTAAGCTACCTCTTCAATGTGCTGCACAGTATTGAAATTCTCTTTACAGTCAGCTAAAAGAGACAAAAAAACATTTATTTTATGTTCTTTAATCAACCAGGTACAGTTACTTAATTATCATTACCTTTAAAAGATGTGATAGGTCCATATTTACTCCTCAGAACTACTCCTAAACTTTCCTCAGGATTCAGTGGCTAAGATCTAGGATAGTTCTACCTCCATCCAACCTTACCCAACTCCTAAGAGCCATTCTGACCATGAATGTCACAAGAATGGCCATGGTCTGTCCCAGGTGGTGAATGAAATCTATGGCCCTCACCATCATCTCCATAAACACCTGGAGGAGAAGATGGAGGTAGGCAAAACAAATTAGCAGGAGTGCCTCCATCACAGTGGGAAATGGTTGGCTTCCCAGCCCCATGGACCTGAAGCAGCTCACCTAAAATCTACCAGGTTAGTTGTCCCAAAGGTGCTTTTTTGAGATTGAAGAAGCTTCTTGGATAAGAAGCGAAACGTCTACAAGGAAAAACAAAGTCCAGTTGCCTTTTGAAAAAGCGCCTTTGGGACAACCATGATGACTGAGAATCTCCATAGATACCAGATTAGTTGTTTGGGAGAAAGCCCACCTACCCAATTTTTTATTCTATTCTGGACTAGTAACCCCGAAGTAGTCACACTCCATACCAACATCGATGACTCTCTGTTTGGCTGTTGGTTGGCGCGAATGCCAATGTTTCCAGAATTTGAGCTGTTCCATTGGAATCTTCTCATTGTCAAAAACCACCATCACCACGCTCTAGAAAAAGAGAAGGAAGCCCACACAGACACTGTTAACTTCTACAAAGTGCTTATTTATACATCCATTTGCAAAACCAAAACCAACTTTGGAGTAACATTCAGGATTGATGACGATTTTAGAAAACTCCATGGCTATTGTGCTAATGAATCCTGCAGAGACCATGTTTTTTGGCGGAAGTTTGGCCGCCTGTCACTTACCTTCACTTTGTTTGAGGACAAGTGTAAACATTTGGCGTCTCCAACTGTCCTCAAAGTCACCGGGTAGAACTGTCCTTTGTTGAGGTACGCCATGGGTGAGTCACCTGACTTGATATGAATAGCTTTGGGAGATCCCAAGGTGTATTCAAAGTCGCTGGAATGGAACCATTAAAGAAAGAGAAAGAGATTTTACTCGGTAAAACACAAAAGGCATAATCTCAGAGCGAACATGGTTTTCTTCAATGTCATAGCTACACCAATATAATGAGACTACAAAGCTGGACAGATCCTAGTTCATGAGCTAATTAGAACCCTCTTCTACTAATCAATAGGGGACATTTAAAAACAGCATCAACCAACAACACATCCATCTTCTACGCTGGTCTGATGGTTTAATGATGTTCAAAAAAAATAACTGCAATTGAATAACAGAACAGAATAACAGAGTTGGAATTGACCTTGAAGGTCATCTAGTCCAACCCACTACTCAAGCAGGAAACTCTATATCATTTCAGATAGATGGCTGTCCAATCTCTTCTTGGAAAATCTCAGTGATGGAGCACCTACAACCTCTGGAGGCAAGCCGTTCCACTGATTAATGGTTCTAACTGTCAGGAAATTTCTCTGTATTTCTAGGTTGGTTTTCTCTTTGATTAATTTCCATCCATTGCTTCTTGTCCTGCTTCCAGGTGCTTTGGCACCTATTAAAGACTCTATGCCTGTTGTCTGTCTGCTATGTAACTGCAAATTGTGAAAGTGTCTCGATGTGAAAGGTCCAAGTGGAAGGGACAGCCTAGGCACCAGATGTTCTTTTCATTGGAGACCAGTTCATTCCTAATCTCTGCATAGCTCCCAGATTTTCAATTAGAAAACTGAGAAGTTTTGGATGCACAACAGCTGAGCTGAAAATAAATTGGCTCCCTTGCTGAAAGGAGCCATCATTGTAGGTTCATGGAAATGCAGCACCAATTCAGAAGAAACTCTATGTGTGAAAGTCCCCAATTGTTCTCAAGTGAGCCCAACTTATAGAAAAGAGGATAACCAAGTGCCTCAGAGTAGGAAGTGCTCGATTAAAAAAAAAAGATATATTTTTTTCCTCTGTTGGAGATTAAATAGTTCAGGAGAAAACCTTCACACTTACGTCTTGCCATCACTGATGGAATAACCTTCTGAACACGGAGCTTCTGCCTTCAAAATATCATTGAAGATCAAGGACTGCAGAGAACAAAACCAGGACAATTTGGTGTGATTTGATTTGATTTGATTTTAATTTAGTTTACTATGTATGTATGTATGTATGTATGTATGTATGTATGTATGTATGTATTTTGAAGCCTCCCCTGTTCCCTTAGTTCAGGGGTAACTGTAACACTTGGCAACTGTAAGTCTTGTGGACTTCAACTCCCAGAATGCTTGTGGAAGTTGAGGTCCACAAGTCTTAAAGGTGCCAAGCTTGGAGACCCCTGCCTTAGATCCAAGGCAAATTGGGTAGACAGATATGTAGCAGATTAAGCTTTGCTGTGTGGGGGGACAGAGTATCCAGAAAAAAGCACCATCTCCTTAACTGTCTCAGCCAGCTGCTAAACAAGTAGGACATCAGAGCAGACCAAGCGGGAACCACCCTGTACTCAGAACCACATAATCAGCTCTTGAATAGCAGAGTGCTATTTTTGCAACCCCCAGAACAAGTTTTTAGGAAGAGAGAGAGCTGAAGTGGCTATGGATTAGATCAGTGTTTCTCCACCTTGGCAACTTTTAAGACGGGTAGACTTCAACTCCTATGCTGCCTGGGGAACTCTTGGAGCTGAAGTCCACACGTCTAAAAGTTGCCAAGGTTGAAAAACTCTGCATTACATGGAAAAGAAGGACTTTTTTTGCCAGAAAAGGACTTACCAAACCCATTCTAATCCAAACCACATCCTAGCTAGCAATCTGCTTATGAACTAGGACAGGGGTAGGCAACCTTGGCTCTTTTATGACTCGTGGACTTCAACTCCCAGAATTCCTGAGCCAGCATGGCTGGCTCAGGAATTCTGGGAGTTGAAGTCCACGAGTCATAAAAGAGCCAAGGTTGCCTACCCCTGAACTAGGAGCAAATACAAAAATGTCCTGGCTTTAGGTGTGAAGTAAAGTGGTTGCACAACCATGAGAAAAACCAATATTTCTCCCCAGATATCCCCACCACAGCTTTCCCCTGTCTTGTGTTGTTTAAAGGTGTTGGAACAGAAGCTCCCTCAACAACCAGACCCCAAAACGGGATTTCTGAGAGCTGTTGTCCAATGCAACTGGAGGACCAGTTTGTGCTAATGTTTGAAGTGGGAGATCTTCCTTTGATCTCCAGAAAGCTTCTTTCTGTCCTCAGCTACATTTGCAAAGATGTTGCTAAGATATTTTTTAATTATGCTTGGTCCATAAAAGGTGGTATCCCAATGAAAGAAAAGCAAAAGGGCTTGGATTGATTTGTATTTTGAAATCTGCCCAGCTTTCTTTGGGTCCAGGATAAACTGGATGAGGAGAAGGAGAAGAACAAGCAAGGCAAAAGAAAGTTCATGCAGAACATTAAGCCATAAACCATGGTTTACAAACATCTCCTTTGAGAATTCCATTCCATATTATTTCACAGCCCATAAAGGTTGCTTATCCTTGAACCAGGATGAAAGGAAACCAATCCCATCAGGACTCTAAGTCAGTAATTGCTAAAGGTGGACCACGTCTCTGTACTTTCCCGTTTCTTAACTCTTCTGCACTGGCCTAGTGTAATAGGAAAGAGCAGCTTAGAAATAAGCTGTAGTCACTGAACAATGTGGATAACAATGTGGATAAGAAGTCTATTTAAGGAACAGCTGACATCACCCCCCCCAACTCCACTTCATCCTGCTGAATCCTCGTGACAACTGATTTTGTATGAAAGGGACACTCCTTTGTACGCCTAATTACCACAATCTGTGCTGCTCCCATTTATAACCATGCATGTCACATCCTGCACAGAAGTGGGCAGAACCACACAGCTTGGATCCAAGCCAGGTGGCTGACCAAGCTGAAATGGCCCTCCCTTAGATCCACCAAACTTTCTGGGTTTCAAAACAGGCTGGATTTTATGCTACGCATTAAGATATACTTTCCCCAACTTTCCCGAACCTGGTGCCTTCCAGATGTGCTGGATGACAATTCGCGTAACTACCAGCTGTGTTGGTTGGAGATGTTAGGAATTGTGCTCCAGTACATCTGGATGCCATGTGGTTAGCGAAGCCTAACTTAGCGGTGTCACTGATATACACCTGCAGACCACCATTGGCTTGATAACATCAAACAAGGATCTTGCATAAGTTCTTACCTCCTCGGGGTCTTCTTTAAAAGTGCTATCTGGCTGCCATCTCTGTTGGGGTGGAGCCACGTGGATGGAGTCAAAGAGGGAATTAAGCGAGCCGTTGTCATACATGTCTCCTGAAGTAATCATATAATTCTCAGGATTGGTCTCTAGTTTGCTGGGACCTGGAGGCAGAGCTGGTGGCTTCTGAGGAGAAGAGATGCTCTCAAAAGCTAAACCGTTCTTCTTGGGCAAGTCCAGATATTCTTGGTTCACCGAAACGTTTTCAGCCAGAAGCTTCATGAGCTGAGCAGAACCTTCAAAGGAAGAAATCTCTGGTTCATATTCCATCCCATGGCAATGCCTAAAAGAGAAGGAAGGACCAGGCAAAAGGATTTAGCAACAGAAGGCCAGCAGAAGGACATTTAATACGGTAACTACTTGGTAACTACTTGGTAAATACTCTGTTATCATCAGAACTTGATCAGATTATTCTTTCGCTTTCATTTTGCTAAATGGAAAGCTTACACCGTTTATAGTGCTACCCAATCTCTTTCACAGAACTCTCTCTAAGGAAAGGATGGAGGAGCCATGGCTTTCCAGAGACAGCTCAAGTACAGTTCCCTGAATTCTGAGTGGAACTGTTGGGAGTTGTAGTCCAGCAACACTTGGAAGACTGCAGGCCAGGGGAGCTGAAATCCACAAGTCTTAAAGTTGTTAGGGTTGCCTAACACTGGAAGTTTTTAAGAAGAGACTGGACAGCCATTTGTCCGAAATGGTACAGGGTTTCCTGCCTGAGCAGGGGGTTGGACTAGATTACCTCCAAGGTCCCTTCCAACTTTATTATTATTATTATTATTATTATTATTATTATTATTATTATTATTATTATTATTATTATTATTATTATTATTATTATTATTATTAATCATCGCACAGTCAGCCAGATGTTCAGACTGGATTTGGCATTTTTGTCTACCTATCAAGTCCTTCCCAAGGACCTGGGATAGGCAGATGTGGATGTTTAATGGTATTCAGATATCGTCGCAGGATGGAGGTGGTTCCTAGTAAGGCCGCCTTTTGCAACTGACTAATGGCGAATTTGTCAATGCCGATGGTGTTCAAGTGGTGCTCCAGTTGTTTTGGGATTGCACCCAAGGCGCCTATTGCTATTGGTACTACCCTTGCTTGCCTTTGCCACAGTCTTTCTATTTCTATTTGTAGGTCTTTGTATTTTGTTATCTTCTCCAGTTCTTTCTCATCTATTCTGCTGTCTTCAGGCACTGCCATGTCCACTATCCAGACTTTTTTTGTCTTTCTTATCAACAATTGTTAAGTCCGGGATGTTATGTGGCAGGTGCTTGTCTGTTTGAATTCTGAAGTCCCAGAGCAGTTTGTTTATTACTACTACTACTACTACTACTACTACTACTACTACTACTACTACTACTATTATTATTATTATTATTATTATTATTATTATTATTATTATTATTATTATTATTATTATTCCTTCTAAGCACACCACCTCTATCTCATACCTGAGCAGAGATTGCCTCTTTTTATAATTTTGCAGTGGCTGCCAAGTGGTTTCAGAAGCCTCTTTCTCTACTAGGAATAGTAAATGATGTCCCATCAGTGTTGTTGAACTACAGCATCCAAGATCCCTTTCAATTAGGCATGCACTCAAATTCCCCAGCACCTGGCAAGCCAGAGGTTGCTAGTATACATCTTTTGGAAGCACAGTAAAGCTTTTCAAAACAACTGGGTGCATAACCAGCATTTTTGATCTGATCCTAGTCCAGAAATAGGTAGAAGAAGCCAACCTACTGCTGCATCAGGACCATTGTGTAGGAGGCAGCCACAGACCCCAAAGGGATGCAAATAGTTTTTTTTCACTTCTGCTCTCTTCACCCCATTCCCCCCAATCTGTCATAACTTGTAATCTAGTAAGACATTGTGGAGTCCAGCCCTCCCGTTGTCGTCACCTACTGACACACCTTTCAATTATTTTTTGAACTAAAGAAACAGATGTTTTGTAGCATGGATTTATAAAGTCCTCATTTCCCCCCCCCAAGCAGTTTACAAAACGGGGCAGATATTTTCCTTACCTCTTCCCAACTTCACTGCGCCCCGGTGTCCCAGATGGAAGGATTCGCTTATCTTTTGGAACCTAACAAGGAGAAAAAAAATAACGAAAAATAAACATGTCCTGCAGATCAGGATGATGATGTTCCAGGTTGAATCTCTATTATTGTGTATTCGCGATGGTTGAAAGAATGCATTTAACCTGGTGGCCAAATTAATCATATTTTCTAGTTTGTGCAACAACCTCAGCTATAAACACAAATCAGATGGACTGGATTTGCATAACACTCTAAGGCAGTGTTTCTCACATGACAACTTGAAGATGCGTGGAGTTCAGTTCCCAGAATTCCCCAGCCAGCATTCTCCATTCCCTTGAAGTTACCAAGGTTGAGAAACTCTCTCAAGTTTGAGAAACACTGCTTTAGCATCATGTTTATTTGCAAAAATAGAAATGAGTTCTGCTCTATGGACATTTGGGAACTTGACAGGCCTGCCGTGGCCGCCATTTTGTGAGTGCACCCAGCAGATTCTCCTAACCCCTGCACCAATTGTTCTTCATACCATATAATAGTCATAAAGGAGACTCAGGGCTGCTACGCTGTCATCATCCCCATTTACTCTCATCATGGCCTTAGTGGCTGCTGTTAGAGGGTTCTCCAGATAAGTCTTCCAAGCTTCGTCTTCGTTCATATAGGAGTACTTCTGCAAGCCCATCCCATCGTTTTTCAGAAGACGCACAGACATGAAGCTGAATGGGAACACAAAGAGGCACGTTGTATTGGGACATTTCTTTGCAACCATCTGTTTTAGCAAAATACGTAGAAAATTACAGCACTTGTATCAGTTCAATACACCCTCTCTAATATGAGCAGCGCTATTTGTTGGGGTGTGCTTTTTATATTTTCCTTGCATGCTGTCTTGTTGTTTCATTTTACACGTATGACTTCATTAGACAACAAAAAATAGATTTTATCTTCTAAATTAGACTGATTTAGATGGATTAACAAGGGTGTAATGAATCAAGCTCTCACTTGAAGCTCTAAGTGAAGTGTTAGTGCCACTTTATAATGCCTTGGTAAGGCCACACTTGGAATATTGCATCCAGTTTTGGCCACCATGATATAAAAAAGATGTTGAGACTCTAAGAAAGAGTGCAGAGAAGAGCAACAAAAATGATCAGGGGACTGGAGGCTAAAACATATGAAGAACGGTTGCAGGAACTGGGTATGTCTAATGTAATGAAAAGAAGGATGTGGGGGTGACATGATAGCAGTGTTCTAATATCTCAGGGATTGCCACAAAGAGGAGGGGATCAATCTATTCTCCAAAGCAGCTGAACAAGAAACAATGGATGAAAAGTAATCAAGGGCACATTCAACCTAGAATTAAGGAGACATTTCCTGATCGTGAGAACAATTAATCAGTGGAACAGCTTGCCTGCAGAAGCTGTGGGTGCTCCATCACTTTAAGAAGAGATTGGACAGCTGATTGTCTGAAATGGTATAGGGCTGGGGTAGGCAACCTTGGCTCTTTTATAACTCGTGGACTTCAACTCTCAGAATTCCTGAGCCAGCCATGCTGAGGGGAAAAGGAGAGGTTTCCAAGCTGAGCCATGCTGGCTCAGGAATTCTGGGAGTTGAAGTCCACAAGTCATAAAAGAGCCAAGGTTGCCTACCCCTGGTACCCCACATCTCCGAGTGGCCAAGGTTGAGAAATACAGGCCTAGGCCAGGGGTAGGCAACCTTGGCTCTTTTATGACTCATGGACTTCAACTCCCAGAATTCCTGAGCCAGCCATGCTGAGGGGAAAGGGAGAGGTTTCCAAGCTGAGCCATGCTGGCTCAGGAATTCTGGGAGTTGAAGTCCACAAGTCATAAAAGAGCCAAGGTTGCCTACCCCTGGTATAGGGTCTCCTGCTTGAGCAGAGGGTTGGACTAAAAGATCTTTAAGGTCCCTTACAACTCTGTTATTCTGTTAAGTTTCTGGGGAAGCTTGCCATGTAATATATAATAGGTCAACTCTCCCACCGAGAGTCCCATCAGCCTCTAGGATGTTTCCAAGGGAAACATTTTGGGTGGCTCTTTACATAAAAACTCTTGGGATCTTGAGGTGAGATACAAAGAACTGAATAGGTGAATAAAATGAGTAACCGTATTCTCCTTCTGTTCTCATCCCCTCCTTTGCTTGCCCGTTCCTGCACTTTCTCACAGTCATAGGTTATGCAATTTGTTGTGTTTTTATTGTTTTATCTTTTAATTGTGAGATGCCCTAGGAGCTCTAGATGGGTGGGATTTTATTATTGGCTAAAAACAAACAAGCTATTAGCGAAAGTTAAGATTTCGTCCTGAAAGACTGTCTGGATCCAAATTGGCTCCCTTTTGGAAAAGCATCTTTACCGAGCTAATGGTAAATCTGTTTAGCAACAATGACAAACCGAAGACATTTCTGTCATGTCTTTCAGCAAAAGAACTTTCAAGATGTGTAGGCTAAAACAAACTACAGCAACAAAAGAAGTGATTAAACAACTCCACCAGCAGTCAGAGGAGACAGACAATAAAATGTATCTGCCTCAAATCCAGGCAAGAGACCACAATTAAAATAGCACTCCAGGGTTATTCACGGAAACCTTACAGAATAAAGCAGGGGTTCGCAAGAGAGTTGGAAAAATAAATAAAGCTAGTACAAAAGACAACCCGTTCTTGAAGAATAAAAAAAATTACAATTAAGGTGCCAAACTCAAGAAGGCTCTGTCTCTGTTAACTGCCCAATTCTGGAAGAAGGTCTCTAATGACAATTTAAATAGTAGACATGTTTTTTATGTACTGCACAATGTTTTAGATCAAAGCCAAGTTGAATTGTGCTCAGGAAGAAATTTGACACCCGTATTGACAAAATACAAGAGGAATATCCCTTTTTTTCCCCTCGTGTTTTTTTCCCCTTTTTTTTAAATCATCCCATCCCTGAAAACTCAAATTGCAAGCAATTTTGGGCAGCCTAATCTTTAGCACTTCCAAGGACCAGTTTTCCAATCTTGTTCTAGAGTAGATCTCCCCCCACACCCCATTGGTTCTCACCCTTGTGGCCCAGGTCAAAGTTTTGTTTGGACACTGATACCCTCCATAAGTTCTTTAGATCAAGGCTTTTCGACCAGTGGTACGGGTACCACCTGTGGTACATTGGCACCTGGCAGGTGGTACGGGACCATCCTAGAAAAGTGGTAGCAGGGGAGAGGAATGAGCTGAACCGGTGGCAGTACCGCACAAGCCTGAGCGAGAGATGGCTGGAGCTGCAGGGCTGTCAGGGCTCAGTGGAAGCGCCAGGATCAGTGCCAGGCTCCAGCTGGAGCTCAGCACTGATCCTGGCGCTTCTGCTGAGCCCAGAAGAAGCGCCGATCAGCTGGAATGTTGCAGCATCTCCAGGGTCTTGTGATTTACATTCAGATGGTTGGCAACTGATTCATATTTATGACGGTCACAGTGTCCCAGGGTCATGTGAAGTGACCAGAACCTGCTGCAACCACCCAGCAGATGGAGGGAATAAAAACCAAACACCCCCCCACCCCACCCCCGCTGCCAATCCTCAACAGAAATGCTCACAACAATGAAAACCTCGGACAGGAGGAAGAGCGCGGCCGGGCGGGCAGGCAGGTGTCTTGCTCGGCTGTGGCTTGGGGGTCACTTTTTTCAGTGCCATTGTAACTTCAAACAGTCACTAAGCGAACTGTTGTAAGTCGAGGATTACCTGTACTTTATCACTTTTTTCCTTTTTTTTTTTTTTTTTTGGTCATCAAATTTTTGACACCTTGCTAGGCGACTGGTGGTACTTGGATATTGCCATATCCTAAAAGTGGTACAATGAGTCAAAAGGTTGAAAAGCCCTGCTTTAGATGTTCTCTGGTCCCAACCTCCTGATTTTTTGTCTTCCCTCTCTTGGGAAGCTGTGGCTCAGTTTCCCTCTGTCACACTCTCCTGGGGCTAATTGGATCGTAATGTGATTACATGGAAGGCAGACTATGACATTCTCATGATGCAATTATTAATCTGAACAAAGACCTGGAACAGTTCCTGCAAAATGTTTTGAAAGGCAAAAGAGTGGGGGAAATGGATGCGCTCCGAATGGCTTAACACTTTTGCTTTGCCAAGTCTCCAGCTGATTATTCAGCTTCTGCGATTTGCATTTTCCCCCCAAAGGCATGGGATGATTCTGCCGTATAAAAAAAGGCTAGCAGCTATGAAATACACAATAAGACTCCTGCCCCGTCTTCTGAAAAAATCTCCGAGAGGAACCTTACTAAAACGTTCGTTTCTCCGGCACGATCCACTACAGGTAGTCCTCGGCTTACGACCGCAACTCAGCCCAAAATTTCTGTGGCTAAGTAAGACAGTTGTTAAATGAATCTTGCTCCATTTTGTGATCGTCCTTGCCACAGTCGTTACTGCAGTTGTTAAATTAGTAACCCAGTTGCTAAGTGAATCTGGTTTCTCCGTTGACGTTGCTTGTCAGAAGGCTGCAAAGGGGGATCAGGTGGTCCCCCAGGACATGGCCACCGTCATAAATATGAGTCAGTTACCAAGCGTCTGAATTTTGATCACGTGACCAGGGGGATGCGACAGCGGTCTGTGAAAAACTGTCCTAAGTCACTATTTTCAGTGCTGTTATAACTATGAACGTCACTAAATGAGCTGTATTTATAATCTCCTTGACTGGCTGAGGGTCTCAGATGAAACAATGATTCCAGCAGGTGGACCATCTCATGGACATGTGATCCCCCCTTCTCTCTTTCTCTCTCTCTCTCTCCCTCTCCTCTCTCTCTCTCTCTCTCCCTCCCTTTCTTTCTCTCTCTCTCTCTCTCTCTCTCTCTCTCTCCCTCTCCTCTCTCTCTCTCTCTCTCTCTCTCTCTCTCTTTCTCTGTCTGTCTGTCTGTCTGACTCTCTTTCTTTCTTTCTTTCTTTCTTTCTTTCTTTCTCTCTCTTTCTCTCTCTCTCTCCCTCTCTTTCTTTCTCTGTCTCTCTTTCTTTCTCTCTCTGTCTCTCTCTTTTTCTTTCTCTCTCTGTCTCTCTGTCTCTCTCTCTCTTTCTCTCTCTCTCCCTCTCCCCCCTCTCTCTTTCTTTCTCTCTCTCTCTGTCTGTCTGTCTTCTCTCTTTCTTTCTCTCCGTCTGTCTCTCTTTCTCTTTCTCTCTCTCTCTCTCTCCTCTCTCTCCCTCCCTCTCTCTCTTCTCTCTCTCTGTCTGTCTGTCTCTCTTTCTTTCTCTGTCTGTCTGTCTCTCTTTCTCTCTCTCTCTCTCTTTTTCTCTCTCTCCCTCTCTCTCTCTCTCTCTCTCTCTCTTTCTTTCTTTCTCTCTCTTTCTCTCCTCTTTCTTTCTCTCTCTCTCTCTCTCTCTCTCTCTCTTTCTTTCTCTCTCTCTCTCTCTCTCTCTCTTTCTTTCTCTCTCTCCCTCTCTCTCTCTCTCTCTCTCTCTCTGGGGATAATTTTTGTTTTTTGTTTTTAAATGTTGTTAATTCTCGGTATTTTCTGGCATAACTCTCCATGTTTGCACACTTCATTTCTCAAAATAGTCTGCTGACTTTGAACAACATCAATTAAAGGAGTAGGTGGGGACCCCAGAAATGGATCTTAGATTCTGCATGCAGCCTTGGGGTTGCCGTTTGCCCATCCCTGGATTACTGCGATCTGTTAATTAATGGGGCCACCCTTGAAGAAGGTGCAGACACACTGGCAGGTGCAGAAGATGGCAATATT